GAGCGGTGAACTTCGCCATCGCCAGCTTGTGCTTTTGTGTGCCGGCGTGCTTACGGAAGGACTGTGTTTGCACGTCTGTAGCACCTTTCCCGCGCCTCCCACATTTTCCTGCATCGCCAGCATGGGCTTCACACACACTGCACTTAAATCCAGGAAGACCACAGGACGTTTTCATTAGCACGAGCCAGGGAAAGCGAGCTGACCACTGGGACTTGAATTTGTCGTGTGCGTCCTCATGCACATCTGCGATGAGCTGGTCCATGTCGATGTTCAGCCGTGGACGAGGCCTTTCTGATGGGCCGGCAACGTTGTTCTCGACCACAACCGTCGCAGACGTCTTCCCGAAACTAAGCGTCGCCTGCTTAAGTCGGACGTTACGCGCTGCAGCAGTGGCGGGCGGCTTCACGACAGGTTGCAGTGCAGAACCAACGGTAGGTTCTTCATCCATTGTCTCGGCAGTATCAGTTGGAGTTGAGACCGCTGGTGCAGCTTCCTTCGGGAGGGGAATTGTGTCAGGCGTAGAACGTGCAACCTTCTCTAGTGCTAGGGAGCTAAGCAGAAAGTCTAGGCCGGTTTTAGCATGAGGGACGGCATCATTGTCATCGCCTGAGGCGGAACCGTCCTGAATAGCCATGGCGGGGGTTGAGAAAGCCTGCCGAGTAGGCACTAGGGAGGTGGTGGAGGTAGACAAAAAGCACTGGGACTGGGACTAGACAAGGCTGCTGAAGCATGAGGTGGGGATGAAACCTCCAGTGGGCTGTGGTTGCCTACCAAGCACGCTGCCGTGCACTGCTCCCTGCAGTGTTTCGTGGCTGCCAAATGCAGCAACGTGGGTACCGTTGGAGTCCAGTGTGGCTGGCAAAGGCTGCCGAACGGACCAATCAACGCCCTATGCTGGTGTGCGCTGGTGCTTACGAGGGAGAAACCGCGCCGCAGGGCGGCGTCGGTGTGTAAACTGATGTGCTGTCACTGATCAAGCGTGATTGTCGGTCGGGGTGACAGTCTAGTGTCACCGCTAATCCCGGCTTAAGGCTGTCAAACTTATATATGCTATAGTCTATTTAGGCTGTAGTGGGGTAGTCCTTAGAGGGTACAACACTTTTGTGTTTGCTACTTGTACCCCACCTGTTTCCTAGTTCATTCATTCCTCTCATTATTCTCACATGGTATAGAGCAGGTTCCCTAGTGGAACTGTTTTTTTAGGGCCCACCACTACGAAAAAATAAAAAAAAATCCTTACCCGCCCGAAGCGCGTTTCGCGTTCGTCCTAGCAGCGCCCCGTGCGCCTGCCCTTCGCAGCCCTTCGCGGCCCCTAGCGGCCTTCGCGGCCCCTTAGTGCCCCTTTGCGGCCCCCCTTCGCAGCCCTTCGCGGCCCCTTTTGCGGCCCTTCGCGGCCCCTCGCGGCCCTTAGCGGCCCCTTAACGGCCCTTCGCGGCCCGTCGCGGCCCTTCGCGGCCCCTTACCGGCCCTTCGCGGCCCCTCGTCGCGGCCCCTCGCGGCCCCCTTTCGCGGCCCTTCGCGACCCCTCGCTGCCCTTTGCGGGCCCTTGCGCGGCCCTTCGAGGCCACTTTGCGGCCATTCGCGGCCCCCTCACGACCCTTCGCGGCCCTCTTCGGCGGCCCTTCGCGGCCCCTTCCGGCCCCTTCTGACGCGCCCTTGCTGGCGCGCCTCTCTACCGGCCCCTACTGGCGCGGCCCCCACTGGCGCACCTCTGCCGGCCCCTACTGACGCGGCCCTGCTGGCGTGCCCCTGCCGGCCCCTGCTGACGCGCCTCTGCCTGCCCCTGCTGACGAGCCCCTGCCGGCCCCTACTGGCGCGGCCCCTACAGTCCCGGCCCGCCCCTGCACCCGTCTCTGGTAAGCCGAGCCGCGCCGCCCAGCCGAGCCGCGCCGCCCAGCCGAGCCGCGCCGCCCAGCCGAGCCGCGCCGCCCAGCCGAGCCGCGCCGCCCAGCCGAGCCGCGCCGCTCAGCTGAGCCACGCCGCCCCCACCGAGCCGCACTGCCCTACCGAGCAGCACTGCCTTGCACTGCCCTGCTGCTACTGCTGCTGCTGCTGCTACTACTGCTACTGCTGCTACTGCTACTACTCTTGCTACTGCTCCTACTGCTACTATGGCTAGTCCTACTGTTCTCACCTTTGATGCTGAGGGACGTGCAGTTGATTTTGACGTGTGGGTTGACGACCTACAGTTCTTTCTTCAGTGTGATTCTAGGGATGGGGTATCCCTTTTCGATCACACGTCCGGTGTTTCCACTGCTCCTGCTGCCACTGCTGACAGTACTGTTCGCTCGCAGTGGACCACTCGTGACGCTGTTGCTTGTCTTGCTGTTCGTAGTCACCTGCCGCCTGCTGAGCGCGCACACTTTGGCCAGTACAAGACTGCTCAGTCTTTGTACGACGCTGTAGTTGCACGCTACTCCTCCCCTACCAGGCTAGGGGCGACGGGGCGACTGGCCGCAGGTCCTTGGGCCTAGGCTAGGGGCGACGGGGCGACGGGGCGACTGGCCGCAGGTCCTTGGGCCTAGGCTAGGGGCGACGGGTCGCGAGGGGCCGTGGGGCCGAAGGGCCTAGGCTAGGGGCCTGGGCCTAGGCTAGGGGCGACGAGTCGCGAGGGGCCATGGGGCAGAGGGGCCTGGGCTAGGGGCGACGGGGCGACTGGCCGCGGGGCCTGGGCCTACGCTAGGGGCGACGGGTCGCGAGGGGCCGTGGGGCCGAGGCTAGGGGCGACGGGGGTCGCGACGGGCGACAGGCCAAAGGGCCGGGCTAGGGGGGACGGGCGTCGCCAAGGGACGACGTGCCTACGCTAGGGGCAACGGGTCGCGAGGGGCCGTGGGGCCGAGGCTAGGGGCGACGGGCGACAGGGGTCGCGACGGGCGACGGGCGATGGGGGGCCGGGCTAGGGGCGACGCCAAGGGGCGACGGGCCTAGGGGTGTCGGGCCGGGCTAGGGGTGGCGACGGGCCAGGGCCTAGGGGCGACGGGCGCGAGGCTACGGGCCTGGGCCTAGGGTCGAGAGTGGCTAGCAGGGCAGCAGGTGGTGGGCCCAAAAAAAAGAACGGTCCTAGGAAGGAACCTGCTCCGAAACCATGTCAGAAAGAACGAACGAGAATGAATGAACTAGCAAAGAGTTGGGTACAAGTACTAACCCTAATTGGGTTGTACCTCTTATGGGATGCCCCACTACAGCCTACACAATGTAAGCTATATATAACTTTGACAGCACATGCGCTTACAATTTTGACTCAATTATAAGCGCACCCCCTAAAAAACACTATTTTATTATAAGCGCACCTGCGCTTATATCCGGGGTGATACGGTAATTGTTGTTAGCCTGTTTGTACTGCAAAAAGTCTAAGTCATTACCGTCGGCTTTATGTTTCATCCGATTGATCATAAATGCATTCTTCTATTCGTCTGAAACTGTCAATACCGGATTGTCAATAGAGATTCCGCTTGCGATCCCATTCTCCCGCCCACCCCGCCCCCCCCGAGGCCGAGCCCACCCCCTTTCCCGCGCTCCCTCACTCCCCTCGACTTCTAGCCTCACTCGCATGTTGCTCTCACCATTTCGCTGCCCCAACCCCACCCCAACTCCCGCTATTTCTGTTGGAAATCCTCGCCCATCCCTCTCTCCCCTCCCCCCCACCCCTAAATTATAGCTGCTTCTTTCGCCATTTTCCCCAGCGCAGGACCCACGCTTCTCCCCACCCTCGCTTTTCCCTCTCCCCCACGATTTGCACTCCTTCACTGCTGGCACTTTTTTTTCTCGTCACTCCCTCAGTCTAAAAAGTCAAGTGCGGACAAGTTGCACCTCAACGTGTGATTGGTCTGTGCTGCAATTTATGAGTTACCTGATGCTAGCGAACAAAAATACAAATCAGATACCGTTTTTTTTTTAGGTTGCGAAGCAACCCTTTACGATCGATTCTGCCAACTTTTATTTTCATATTTATTAATTTTAAATAAAATATGAAAATAAAATTCATAAACTACAGTACCCTTTCCCATACTGTGCATCAGGGCCTCAGATTCGTTTTTGGGGCTGTCTGATCAATCAGACTTGGTACAAAAATGTTGTCTGAACTATTAGAGTCCGTCTGAAAAAAAAAGTCTGAAATTTCAGAGTGTCATTTGGAAAAACTCTGATTATTCAGAGTTACCAGTTGTGATTAGTCTGATTGCATTCTGAGGGTTTGCAGGCTGTGGGTCAGTTTTTTAACTACCTTGGTGGACGTTGTTTGCACGGTTGCACCTCATATAGCATGCATGTACTTAATTAGGTATCCTATCCAACCAAACCTTGTAGCCTACTACTATTTAAAGCTACAACTTCTACTACTCCATACTAGGTCTAGCCTATCCTACATAACTACCGTACGATTACTTACTCGGTCAGTCATCATCATCACATTCAAGAGCATCATCATCTTCTAAGTCAACTACCTCCATCTCATTGGCATGCTCCTTGCCCTGCCTGCTGTGTTGCCTTGCTGCATCGATTGGAGCGTTGCTGTGGGGCTTGCGCTTCTTGTAGCTGCGCCAGATCGTGACAATCTCATCCCACTTGGGCTCATACTGCATGAGGCTCATGCACATGAGATCCCCAAGCCGTGCATCCTTCATCGCCCCTCGCTGCCACGACTTGATGATATTCTGCCGCGAGAACCCACGCTCGCACTCCACGGTGCTCAGCGGCAGAACGGCTACCGCCACCCACAACTGCACCAAGTTGGGGTAGTTCTCCCTCCAGTCCGGCGTCTTCAGCATGGCAGTGAGTCCAGCATGGAAACTGCGGTCGTTCTTGCTGGCCCCTGCAAGCACCGAGGTGAACATTTGCAGCTCCTTCTGCGACGTCGCTTGTTGATTCCTGAAGGGGGTTTGAAGGTATAACAATGAAAAGTGGAACACACAAGAATGGAGCACTTGACCGAAGTAGCACCACATCACATAAAACCATACAGAGATGAAATGGGTAAGGCACATACGTACATTTACAGTAGACTACGGCTTACCAGGCAGGATTTCTTCGCTCTTGTCTGCCTTGAACAGAGTGACCAGGGACGACAGCCACTGAAGGCATCTGGCGAGCCTTTCGCCTCGGTCCAGTGGATACTCGTCAGGGGTGAATAGCTTGGCCCCTGCCATTCCCTCGAGGTCGACAAACCGGGACTCCAGCTCAAAGACGATCTTCTCCGCGAACGCGGTGCAGACCTCCACGCAGCCATCATGCGTGGCGGGCCCCTCAAAATCCTCCACTTCGTCCTCATGCAGCTTGAACTTGAAGCGCGTGGGTCGCCCGTCAGAGTCAACGCCCTCGACTGTCACCTCCCTGTTTCCTCCATGCCCATGACGCGCGAGGAAAGGGGATAGCCGCTCGCTTACGCCGCCACCGAAGTCGTGGCTGCAGTCAACGTAGCGAGACTCAATGTGAGAGGTGGTGTGCCTTATCTGCCCATAGACGCCGGCATAATCCAGCTGGGTTGAACACGGAAAGGAAATTAATGTTAGTGAGACACAGTATACAATAAAGCAAATGTACTAAGACCTAGAAAACCACCAGTAACATGCTCACCTCTTTGTGCTGGAAGGCCCTGTTCAAGATGTTCAACTGCTCAAGGATGTCAGCAATGAAAAAAAGAAGGAAATGAAAGCTGTAGTTTGTCACCAGAGCATACAGGTCAGCATCACACTCCTTCAGCATCACGATCAGCCCTGGAAGCACGGCGATAAAACGCAGCACAGCATCGCCCCGCGAGAGCCAGCGAACTGCATGGATCCCTTGCAGTTCCAGGCTCGTTGAGGTGAACACGTCCTGGAGATCCATGAACCTCTGGTGCCACGGCCCCGACCTGCCGAGGTGCTCAGCCACTGTCCGAATCACCTTGTCGACGACATTGAAGGCGGGGATGTTCTCAGCAGCATGTTTGGCAGCCAGAGCCTCCCTGAAACGCATACAAGAAAGGTTAGTACTGAGTCTGGAAGTAAAAGGCAGTCACAAAGGCCTATACAAGAGCCCACATACCTGTGCGCGATGCAGTGCGAAGACACCAAATGGGGGATGCGCAGGCGGAGGCGTGTCACCAAGCCCGACTTGCTACTCATCATGACGTTGGCACCGTCAGTGCTGATGCCGGATATCCGCCTCAGGTCGATGCCGACTGCCTGCAGGTGCGAAACTAGGAGACCGACCAGTTTGGCAGCGTCCCCCTTGTCCACGGTGATGAGGGTCATGAACTCCGTTGCTACTTTGCTGTCGCGGATGAAAGTCACGTACAGTATCATGTGTTTCCCACTGCACCGATCCGTGCTCTCGTCGAGGGAGATGCCGATGAAGGGACTTGTGAGCACGTGCTCCAGCTGGGTTGTCTGAAGCCACGTTGCCGTCGCCTGCGTTAACTCCCCGAAGCCGTACCTGCACATAACATATTAGTCAGTTACCGTTTCACATCGAACATAGAAAGCACAATCTCATACGAGGTATATAGCAACATGCATAACTTACGTGGTGTAGTATGTGCCGTAGCCCTTCTTGGGAAATCCCTTCACGCCCTTCTCCGCCAAGTACCGAACAAGCTTCACCCACAGTCCCATTGGCGCGTCGCACTTGCTGACAAACAGCAACGAGTCAAGAAGGGACTCGACGCGCAGCTTCTCCCCGTCGCCCGTGACTCGAAGTTGGTCTATCAGCGGCTGCCGAGTCCCGCACTTCTTCAGAGCGGTGAACTTCGCCATCGCCAGCTTGTGCTTTTGTGTGCCGGCGTGCTTACGGAAGGACTGTGTTTGCACGTCTGTAGCACCTTTCCCGCGCCTCCCACATTTTCCTGCATCGCCAGCATGGGCTTCACACACACTGCACTTAAATCCAGGAAGACCACAGGACGTTTTCATTAGCACGAGCCAGGGAAAGCGAGCTGACCACTGGGACTTGAATTTGTCGTGTGCGTCCTCATGCACATCTGCGATGAGCTGGTCCATGTCGATGTTCAGCCGTGGACGAGGCCTTTCTGATGGGCCGGCAACGTTGTTCTCGACCACAACCGTCGCAGACGTCTTCCCGAAACTAAGCGTCGCCTGCTTAAGTCGGACGTTACGCGCTGCAGCAGTGGCGGGCGGCTTCACGACAGGTTGCAGTGCAGAACCAACGGTAGGTTCTTCATCCATCGTCTCGGCAGTATCAGTTGGAGTTGAGACCGCTGGTGCAGCTTCCTTCGGGAGGGGGATTGTGTCAGGCGTAGAACGTGCAACCTTCTCTAGTGCTAGGGAGCTAAGCAGAAAGTCTAGGCCGGTTTTAGCATGAGGGACGGCATCATTGTCATCGCCTGAGGCGGAACCGTCCTGAATAGCCATGGCGGGGGTTGAGAAAGCCTGCCGAGTAGGCACTAGGGAGGTGGTGGAGGTAGACAAAAAGCACTGGGACTGGGACTAGACAAGGCTGCTGAAGCATGAGGTGGGGATGAAACCTCCAGTGGGCTGTGGTTGCCTACCAAGCACGCTGCCGTGCACTGCTCCCTGCAGTGTTTCGTGGCTGCCAAATGCAGCAACGTGGGTACCGTTGGAGTCCAGTGTGGCTGGCAAAGGCTGCCGAACGGACCAATCAACGCCCTATGCTGGTGTGCGCTGGTGCTTACGAGGGAGAAACCGCGCCGCAGGGCGGCGTCGGTGTGTAAACTGATGTGCTGTCACTGATCAAGCGTGATTGTCGGTCGGGGTGACAGTCTAGTGTCACCGCTAATCCCGGCTTAAGGCTGTCAAACTTATATATGCTATAGTCTATTTAGGCTGTAGTGGGGTAGTCCTTAGAGGGTACAACACTTTTGTGTTTGCTACTTGTACCCCACCTGTTTCCTAGTTCATTCATTCCTCTCATTATTCTCACATGGTATAGAGCAGGTTCCCTAGTGGAACTGTTTTTTTAGGGCCCACCACTACGAAAAAATAAAAAAAATTCCTTACCCGCCCGAAGCGCGTTTCGCGTTCGTCCTAGCAGCGCCCCGTGCGCCTGCCCTTCGCAGCCCTTCGCGGCCCCTAGCGGCCTTCGCGGCCCCTTAGTGCCCCTTTGCGGCCCCCCTTCGCAGCCCTTCGCGGCCCCTTTTGCGGCCCTTCGCGGCCCCTCGCGGCCCTTAGCGGCCCCTTAACGGCCCTTCGCGGCCCGTCGCGGCCCTTCGCGGCCCCTTACCGGCCCTTCGCGGCCCCTCGTCGCGGCCCCTCGCGGCCCCCTTTCGCGGCCCTTCGCGGCCCCTCGCTGCCCTTTGCGGCCCCTTGCGCGGCCCTTCGAGGCCACTTTGCGGCCATTCGCGGCCCCCTCACGACCCTTCGCGGCCCTCTTCGGCGGCCCTTCGCGGCCCCTTCCGGCCCCTTCTGACGCGCCCTTGCTGGCGCGCCTCTCTACCGGCCCCTACTGGCGCGGCCCCCACTGGCGCACCTCTGCCGGCCCCTACTGACGCGGCCCTGCTGGCGTGCCCCTGCCGGCCCCTGCTGACGCGCCTCTGCCTGCCCCTGCTGACGAGCCCCTGCCGGCCCCTACTGGCGCGGCCCCTACAGTCCCGGCCCGCCCCTGCACCCGTCTCTGGTAAGCCGAGCCGCGCCGCCCAGCCGAGCCGCGCTGCCCAGCCGAGCCGCGCCGCCCAGCCGAGCCGCGCCGCCCAGCCGAGCCGCGCCGCCCAGCCGAGCCGCGCCGCTCAGCCGAGCCACGCCGCCCCCACCGAGCCGCCCTGCCCTACCGAGCAGCACTGCCTTGCACTGCCCTGCTGCTACTGCTGCTGCTGCTACTACTGCTACTGCTGCTACTGCTACTACTCTTGCTACTGCTCCTACTGCTACTATGGCTAGTCCTACTGTTCTCACCTTTGAGGCTGAGGGACGTGCAGTTGATTTTGACGTGTGGGTTGACGACCTACAGTTCTTTCTTCAGTGTGATTCTAGGGATGGGGTATCCCTTTTCGATCACACGTCCGGTGTTTCCACTGCTCCTGCTGCCACTGCTGACAGTACTGTTCGCTCGCAGTGGACCACTCGTGACGCTGTTGCTCGTCTTGCTGTTCGTAGTCACCTGCCGCCTGCTGAGCGCGCACACTTTGGCCAGTACAAGACTGCTCAGTCTTTGTACGACGCTGTAGTTGCACGCTACTCCTCCCCTACCACTGCTGCGCTCAGCCGCCTCATGCTGCCGTACCTTTTCCCTGACCTTGCCACCTTTGCCACAGTCGCTGACCTAGTTGCTCACCTTCGCACTAGTGACGCCCGCTACCGCGCTGCCCTTCGCACTGAGTTCTGTGCCAAGAACCCCCCCCCCCCCCCCATGTACATCACCCTTTACTACCTAGTCACCCGCCTCCCTGACTCCCTCTCTTCAGTCAGGGACCACTTTCTCTCCCTTTGCCCCACCGAGCTGACTGTCGACCTGCTAGAGGAGCGCCTTGCTGCAGCTGAGAAGAGTATCTTAGCTGTAGGTGCTTCTCGTGGCGACCGTCGCACCCCCTTCTTTGAGGGGTGTTCCCCTGTTCCCCTTCTCCCCTCTGTTGCTTCTACTGCTGCTGTCGACCTCGTTGGCACTGAGGAGGTCGGAGCTGCGTCTGCCCCTAGTGGGAGACGCCGCAACAGCAAGGGCAAGGGGAGCAAGGATGGTGGAGGGGGCGGCGGGGGAAGCAGTGGAGGAGGTGGAGGCGGTGGAGGAGGTGGCGGTGTAGGTGGGGGTGGTACCGGGAGTGGGGGCGTCAGTGGCGGCGGTGGAGGTCGTGGCGGCGGTGGCGGAGGTGGTGGAGGCAGCGGCAGCGGTGGTGGAGGTGGCGGCGGCGGTGGTGCTGGGCGAGGTGCAGCAGCGCAGCGTGGAGGCTTTGGTGGCGGCCAGCGCCAGCAGCAGCTACGCACCCGTGAGACCCCGTCGGTTCAGCAGCTTCGTGAGTGGTACGCTGGGCGTGGGAGGTCTGGGAGTGCAGGTCCCTACACTTACGTTCTTCGCACCGGCACTCGTAGTGGGGAGGTGTGTGGGCTCCCACACACCACGCAGCGCTGCTTCGATCGCTTGACTGACGCTTGGCGTACCCAGTTTCCTGACGCTGTTGAGCTCCCTCGCTGGCATGATCTGCTTCTGCAGAATGTGCCTATCTTTGATCTAGATTTTGATGCTATCCTTGCTGCCATGTATGCTCTTGCTGATAGTGCTGAGGGTGACTGTTACCTAAGTTTCCCGCCCGACCCGGGCATTACGGCTGCTGCTCTAGGTGCTAGTGCGGCTGCTGCTCTAGGTGCTAGTGCGTCTGCTGCTCTAGGTGCTGGTGCGTCTGCTACTCCAGGTGTTGGTGCGTCTACTCTCTCTGGTACTGCACCTACTGAGTCCTTGCACACTTTCACACTTGACTCTGGTGCTTCGCGCTCTTTCTTTAGAGACAGCACCACACTCAAGCCGCTCAGTCGGCCTGTTGCGGTCTCCCTTGCTGACCCCTCAGGGGGCCCAGTCCTTGCACACTCCTCCACGGTTCTACCGTGTCCTGCGGCCCCGTCGGGCTTGCTGTCGGGACTCCACCTCCCCTCGTTCTCGACGAACTTGGTGAGTGGAGCTGACCTCCAGGACGCGTGGGTTGACCAGTTCACCCCTGGAGGTCAGCGTGTGACCCACTGCACTTGCTCTCGGACGGGCCGCCACCTGGCCACGTTCACCCGTCGGCCAGGGTCGAGTCTGAACACACTGACTACTGCGCCTCCTCCGGTCCCTGGGTCTGGTCAGGTAGCTGCGTCTAGTTAGGTGTTTGCTGCCGCGTCCAGGTCTAGTCCTGTGTCTGCCCCTTGCTCGTGTCGACCTCTGTCGCACGAGACTCTCCTTTGGCACCACCGCCTTGGTCACCCCTCCCTCCCTCGTCTTCGAGGTATGGCCTCCCGTGCCTTTGTCTCTAGTCTCCCCAGGTCCCTCCCTCCCCTTCCTCCGGGGCCTGCCCCCACCTGTGTTCCTTGTGTCGAGGGCCGGCAGCGCGCCGCTCCTCACTCCTCCTCGTTCCCTCCGACTGAGGCCCCTCTGCAGACACTTCACATGGACGTGTGGGGCCCAGCCCGCGTCCGTGGACAGGGTCACGAGCGCTACTTCCTGCTGGTCGTTGACGACTACTCGCGTTACACCACAATCTTCCCCTTGCGCAGCAAGGGTGAGGTCTCTGAGGTGTTGATCGACTGGATCCGCGGTGCTCGTCGCCAGCTCAGTGAGAGGTTCGGCTCAGACCTTCCCGTTCTGCGTCTGCACTCAGACAGAGGCGGGGAGTTTTCCTCTGACCTCCTGAGAGCCTTCTGTCGTGCGGAGGGCATCCGCCAGACGTTCACGCTTCCGGCCTCCCCGCAGCAAAATGGAATTGCTGAGCGCCGCATTGGCATGGTCATGGACGTCGCTCGTACGTCCATGATCCATGCGGCTGCTCCCCATTTTCTGTGGCCGTTCGCGGTTCAGTACGCTGCGCATCAGATCAACCTTCAGCCTCGTGTCTCCTTGCCAGAGACCACACCTACTCTGCGGTGGACGGGGAAGGTTGGCGATGCGTCCGCGTTCCGTGTCTGGGGATCTCGAGCTTTTGTCCGCGATACTTCAGCGGACAAGCTGTCCTCCCGTGCCGTTCCTTGTGTCTTCCTTGGCTTCCCTCCTGACGCACCCGGGTGGCAGTTCTACCACCCCACCTCGCGTCGTGTTATGTTCTCTCAGGACGTCACGTTTGACGAGTCGGTGTCATACTACCATCTCTTTCCCTACCGCACTGCCTCCCCCCCCCCCCCCCGCCGCTCTTCCTGGCACCAGGTACTCCCCCGGTAGACCCCCTCCCCCCCCAGGGTCCTGCCCCCTCAGGTGTGTCCCAGGTAGACCCTGCCGAGCCGGTTGAGGTAGCTGTCGACTCAGGTGCTGAGCCTGGGGGTGCTGAGCCTGCGGGTGCGGGGACTGGGGGTGCTGAGTCTGGGGGTGCTGAGTCTGGGCGTGCTGCGTTTGGGGGTGCTGAGCCTGGGCGTGTGGAGCCTGAGGGTACTGCGTCTGGAGGTGCTGTAGGTGTCCCGCCGCGGCGGGAGCCTCTCTCTCCACAGCAGCTTCGTGAGTGGTACTCTCGGCGCTGTCGGGGTGCTGCTGGAGCTACTGGATGTACTGCTGGTGCTGGTGCTGCTGGAGGTGCTGCTGGTGCTGGAGGTGCTGCTGG